TTTTTCTGTCTTATTCATGATGACTATTGTTGTGTTGCTTCGGTGAGGTTTAAAGCAGAGTTTGTTTCAACTCTTTTAGAGCCGTGACCTCATTGCGTTACAAAGTATTTTTTGGCTTAGATGCAGTCTGCAAGTAGCGTTATGACAAATTTCCAAGTAGCTCTGAAGGGCGATAGAAGACTGAACCGGTGGCATTCAGTTTGATATGAAACAGAAGTGGTTCTTTGTTTTGTCCGTGAAAGGTGTAACGGAGGCGCATTCGTCTTGCGAATAAATCTCGCAAAAGTTGGCCTGATTTTAAATTCGTTTGTCACGGGCGTTGGGATGAATTTGAGACCCTTTGATAGCACGCTGACTTGGCTGTCAGATGGTTGATAGTTTGACAGGTTTTTAAAGAAATTTTCATTTTCTCGGTTTTTTGGCTGCAAGCCTACATTTTAAAGTGTTTTTACGCTCTGTGTCTTAAGCTGTTTGTTCTGCTTTCGCTGATATTAAAGCCAGCTTTTTTTAGAATCAGAGCACACAATTATATTTTTCATCTCTTTTGTATAAAAGTGAGCTCTTTGAGGTCAGAAATCTCAATCCTCAATTCGGCTATTTTATCATTCTTATTTACAATGTTCACCGAGTACTTTCCTTTGTGTAAGGTATTCTGCCAGAGAGTTGTTAAAGGTGGATATTGATCAGCTCATATGTAAAGGTGACAAAATCCGTGGAGGTTCGTAGACTTCGCTTTCCGGCGTCGAGATCGCACTGAGGACGGTTTTTCTTGTCCCTTCTCTTCTTGAACGGTAGGCACTGAACCCGACAGAATTCTTCGCCTAGATCCTTCAAAGTACACAGATCTCTCGAAACAGTCCTCCGAGAAGTGTTCGGAGTAGATCACAAATATTTCTGTAGGATTGAAGTTTACTCGGCGAGGTCGCACAAATCGCATCCGTTTTTCCCGCTCTGATCTATTTGCAAGGCTCCGATGCAGAGAAATACCTGCAGCATGGTCTGCACGA